CCTAGCAAAGATTTCTACCTTTTTAGCTCCAGGCATCATTAATTCAATGATTTCATACATTTCTATAGGTTTCTGTGATTTGTTCCTTACTGGACTGAAGATTATATTGTTAGATATTTTAGAATGATACTCTACATGTTCCCCTGGAGGACATTTATATCTATTAATATATTGAAATAATGTAATACCCAACTAAACATATTTCGAAAGAGTGCATAAAATAATATCCTGTAGAAAGATACACATTATTTCCTTAAGGATTTAGTTTAACCCAAATAATTTGATCAACAATCTCATATCCCCATTTGCTAGCCATTTCATATGCTATGTTTAGTTATGTATTGAGAATCCAAAGAAACAAAAATCCTTTCTTACTCAATTTTTCAATTTTGATATCCATAATCTCTTAATTGCTCATAGTGTTGTAATCAAGTGAGAATTTGCTATTAGTAAACATAAAGGACGAATCATTTTATTGTCCTCCTTTAATTCTCCAAGGTGGATCCATCAAAACAACTAAATAGAATATTATTATTAAATACCATCAAAACCACCCACTTTTTCTACCAAAAAGTCTAAATTAAAATATCGTATATCACAATTAATATAAGACTTAACTTCACCCAATTTGGATAGAATTTCTGAATTTTCAATTCCCAACAATTTCAAGTTTCGTTTGGTTTCAAAATCTGTTCCATCTTCAGTTAAAATACGAATTTATTCTTCTGGTTTAATTTCTTCATCTTATTATTTGCAATCACTTATTTAACTAGTTGAATATTCTGGATTTGATAACTACTTGAGTTCAGCAGGAGATATTTGAATGTCTATAAGATATGGACATTTTATACCTTTAAAAATTTTTACATAAATATTTTTGAATAATTCTTTTACAAGATTTTCTTATTCACTTCCTGAAGCTAAGATTTGTTTTTACTCATAAGATTTCTTGAATATTTTATTAACTCTTTTCAAGATGAGTCTTCGTTTATACTGCTCCTCATCTGATGAATCTTCAATATCTAAACGTTTATGCGTTCTTCTAAACTTTTTGGACTTCTTGGCTTTTATTTTTGGATCAAAATCTGACGAGTTATCAGATTCAAAGACTAATTATTGGCAGGATATTGGTTATTATTTGATCAATGTTGGTTCTTGAACTTGCTGAACTTCTTCACGAGGAGGAGTTTGCAGTTCAGCATTCTTCTTTTTATAACTTTACTTATTCTAAACGATTTTTTTCTATTAAATTTAAGGGATAGCTAAAAGTGCTAAGACTAAAACAACTAAGAACCTGGACCGCCAGTTTGCTTTCGTTCTCGCTTGTTATACACAAGATTATCAAGATTGATCTATTTTAATCCAGTCTTCTGTTTTTAGACATTTTTTTAACCATCCTAAACCAGTCTAACATCACTGCTCTTTTCTTGGTCAGTCATTAATTTTTTAATTTTTTTTTTATTCAATCCTCATTTCAGAAGCCATTACAAATATTTATAAAATAAAATAATTGGAATCACAGACATTTTACTTCCCTCTAGTTTTTTTCGATATCACACTCACATATATCTAAACTTGTCAAATCTGTTAGAAAATCACCCTATTTAGACACTAAATTAAATCATAAAATTTAATCTGAGCACACCAGAATCACAATATTGCAATTATTCAATCTCAAATCTATATCAAAAATCCCCTTAAACATTCATCCATACATTACAATAACCATACAAACTCTTAATTAGATTCAAATTAAGAGTATCTTATTAAATACTCTAATTTAAAACCATTATGATGCAGAGCAATCTCCGACTCTGGATCATTATCTCTCTTTTATAATCCATAATCATAATGTTCTTTCACAAGACTTTCAATAACACTAGCTCTTAAATAACTGAAAGTCAACAAAGCATTCTGTTCACAGGAGACAATCCATATAAACAAAACAGAACTTCACGTAATATAAACACAATTATTTTATAATTCTCTACATCAAATTCTATACCATAAACCATCAAATGTGTTATTTTTAAGTTAATATTTTATATATTTATTATAATTTATTATATAGAATAAATATATAAATAAAAATATTTTAAATCCAATCATTCTAATTTATAAAAATAGATGGTAAGGATGTTTTAGATTTATCTTGTTTATTTGTAAAAGTAATTTTAAGTTTATAATATATTATGCTATCTTAATAATATGAGAAGCTCTTGTTAGATAAAATATCAAATAAATTCAATTTTCTTATAGTTTTTATTGCATTATTTCTTAATTATCTTAAAAATTTGTTTATGTTTGTTTTTCTTATTCTAATAAAGGCTTAAAAAAGGGATGCGTCAATCCATCTTCAACTTTGATTCTCTATTTCGGATTTAAACAAAGTAATCTTGAAAGCAAATCTTCAGCATCGCTATCAAATCCATCAATATGTATTATTGATTTCCATTACACAGGTTTGGTTGCAACAACTGAAGGCAATTTAAGATCATATTCTATTTTGATAAATAATTTAATTTTACCAAACTGCTCACATATTTATTTCACTTATTCAGAGCCGAACAAACTAGCCAATTCTAGTATGAAGTTGACATAAAAAAAGTTTTTAGTCACAACAGGCTTATTAATCATTCGGACATTGCTGAATAAATTGTACTTCTTAGTCAAAAATTGTAGGAATATAACTCCTACAGCCCACATATCCACTTCATACGATTGATCCTTCAATAGTTATTTATCTATAAATACTTGGTAATGCAATATGCTTTCTAAGGGCATAAAGCTCTCTGTGCCAATTTTATTATTTCCAATTTAATCTATAGTTTTTTGGATTTCATTGTATAAATTAATCTTCCTTCTAATTTCTTAGACTTCATCTGATTGGGGATGCTTAAAGTAAATAGAAACTCCATACCTTCTTGGATAATTCTTTCTCCTTCTCAATCAATTTGGCGACGAAGGATCTATCAATTTCGCTTAGACCATAATCAATAAGGATTCCTTTGCCTGTCTTAGGATTATAGAGAAAGTTTCCAGGTTTAACATCGCGGTGATAGATTCCATTCTATTTCAACACATTCAGGGCTTTAAGTAGTTCATATAAGTATCGTCTAACTTCCATCATATCAAAAGTAGCAAAGAATGTCTAAAATATAGTAGGAGTGATACAATGAAGGGTTTGTATGTAAAGTACTCAATGACGATATATATTTTTTGATCAATAAGAAACAAATTAACCAATTGTGGCATATTTTCTTTGCCATAAATTAATTTCAAAAATCCTATTTCAGCAAATATTAGCTCTGGAGACACAGTAGAAAAATTAACCTTGATGGCATACTTTTTGTTTTTATCAATTTGACCTTGATTCAATCCAACCCTACATAGTTAGAATAATTAATGTACGCTTTATAAACAACTCCATAACCACCTCTGCCCAATTCTCTAACAACTTTATAATTATTTTTAATGTAGACTTCTTCATCGATGGATTAATCCATATAGTAACGATCATTTGAACATGGATTGACTTTTACCTTCGTATTTGCTGTTTTCTTAGTATTATTCTTTTTCATTTATTATAGATTATATAATTCATAATTATTTATCAAAGGAATTTAAATCATCTGAATTGAGATGGTAAAATCGCATTCTTGAATTTGGCTTATTGATCAATGAAGACAACCCAACATTGGTACTAGCCATCTATGATAATTTAGTAATCTCTTGATCCCTGTCTTTAATGGCATTTTGCAATTGATCAACTGCCTTTAATAAATATTTGATTTTTTCGCTGTCGTTGATTTTTTGCCCAGGTGAAATTCCTTAAAGAAATACAGACTATATAATACCTGATGGTGATATCTAACTCAGAAGAAGAGATTATGGCAATTAACTTATATTTGATTGCTGTTGTGACAATTGTTA